TACAATGGACATGTTCAAACTTCGAACATGACAGAAACAAACCTCAAATACTTGTTCAGAGGAAAAAACAGGGGACAACCGGACACGCATACCATTCACATGTAAGTATGTAAAATGAACACTTTCTGCAGCGACAGATAAACTGAAAACGAAAAGAACAACAATGTTGCCAATAGTACAAGAGAAATGAAATTAAAAGGATTCTTGATCTGCGTTCGGAGATGCTCGAATGATCTGTTTACTTTGCGAATTGATTATTCGTTCGTTTTATGATTTATGGATGAAAGTATATGGGTAATATTTTTCAACTAAATTATATACAAATTTCCAAATTGAAGCTGTATTCAAATTGACGTGATTTGCCTTGGATTGAGAATTGAGGTTCCATGAAAGTACACATCTTCCATAAGCAAGCTTTGGAAACATTATCGATTTTAATTGCCAAAGGCTGGCATTTGAAGACTTTTAAATTTTAATATTTTCAAAATACCAAGGTGTATTTATGCATCAGATACAACAACAAAAATTTTACAAAAACAACATTGTTGTTGTAGTAATTAAATTGTCATGCTGACAATAAGTTTTTGATAAAAATAAACAAAAACAATTATTAATTTATTTTTGTCAAGAACTATCTTTGAGGAATAATTAATGAATTTGTGTATTCTTGGGTTATTAGCGGTTTTAGGTCAGTGAAAAATAAAGTTTTAGACCTGGTCGTGATTCCCGTATGTAGCCCATGGCTCCTTGTGATGTTGTTTATATTGTGGATTACAATCTATTTTTTTCTGTGGAGTGGCTATAAATCTTGTCATTTTAAAGACAATTGAAGGACATACATATAACCCCGGCCAAAAACTAAATCGTGGAGATTTTGTTGACCGTATAAAATCTTTCCATAGGCGTATTTAACCTCCGCCGAGAATTGTGATAAGCACCATGGGGCCGATTCCAATATAGGCTAACATAATCTCCTCGATTTTATGAGTAGCTGGGATTTCTGGACAGATTTCCACACATAATATAAAATATGTGGACCAATCGGTGAACGGGGTTATAACTGAGCCTAGGTTTCCCTTCTGTCCGCCTCTATGAATGTAGTTTTCCTGATTTTTTATAATTAAAAAAGCCTCAATTTAAAGACCATTTTTGAAATCGAAATGTAATATTGAAAATGTTTTTGACAATTTATTTTACAAACAATAAAGAAAAAAGTTTGAAACCATATGATTGTCACTTACACCTTATTAAATACACCTTGCAAAATACAGTACATTATTTTGTGCCTCTTTGTTTAAATTCCAAAATCTCCATATTGTTATTCAAATTTTGTACGTAAATAATTCTCATTTTATGAACCGATTATAATAATTAATTGTCATAGTTAACAACTTTCGAGCACAAGGAAGCTTAGTCGCCATCGATGTTCTCAAAATAAATGCGTCATCTTCACAAGCCCTTTAAATTCACCTTAAAAATCCCTTTAGGATTATCCCAATAAATCCTGGCATGGCATGGCAGTCCATACAAATGATGTCCAACAACACCAAACAACGAAACGACGACAAATTAAGTGGGAAATACGAAGGGAAACAAAAGAGGAGAAGAATATTTAATTTCATTATTTTAATCATCGCAACGATGTTGGGCAAATGTTCGTCTTCCCACATGAATTGCAAGGCATTATGTTCGCCATTCAAGCTCATACAAGGGGCACACATACCCACACGCATGTACACACACACACACTCACCCCCCATCACATGATAGCTGTATATCTTTTACATTATCGCAACAATGAGTATTTAACATAAATACAATTATAAGGAATCCTTTATCTTCGTTCAACTTCACCTCGTCCTTTTTTGTTGGTTGGCCAGCTACAGTTCTCGTTGTCATCCCTTTAGCGAAACAAGCTCTTCACAGCACCAAATGATCAGCGTGGTGCTATTAACAACAACAACAGCAGCAGCAGCATCAGCAACACTGACAGACATTCACACACTAGCACATATTTGCATTCATATGTCACATAACAGTTGGCCATTGAATTGTTGGTTGGTGGCTGAGAATGGGCGGCAGCCAAAGGGACAACCAAACCATCACACCACACCAGTCCAGACCAGACCAGACCAACATTACCAACATCGTTGTTACCACCAACAAACATTAACACAATGTGGAAAGTGGTTTTCATGTGCCACGATGTTTGTCTTGTCGTCACTTCTATGCTGTTGCTGCTGCTGCTCGGAGCCGAGAAACAAAAGACAGCAGCGAAGAAGAATAGAACTACAGAACTACAACAGAAAATGGGTGGGTTGAGGGGGCGTTGTGAAGTAACATTTGTTTTTTGACATGTGGTGACCGTTTTTTTTGTTGGCCAATGTTGGAATGTGGCGTGCAATGATGTGCTCTGCTCTGCAGAATTGCCGAGATGTTGCGCTGCTGTCATGGCATCTGCTCTTGAGTTATGAGCTGTTCATTGCTTTTAGCTTTCATTGTTGTATGGTTTTCGTTTTATTATTACATTTGCAAAACCTCATTGTCTTTAATTCCGACATATGACTGAATGTGAGTGAGCGGAAGAACGAAGAACGACCGAACACATGGACAAACTGTGCTGGCAGACTTAGTGCTGTGTGTGACTGTGTATGTGTGTACGTGTACGTGGCCTTGTCCTTCCACTGAAACAGGACACATTATTATAAAGAAATATACGCGAACATATGACTATGGCTATTTGTTGGGAAGTCCACATTAGTGGTTAAATATGATCGCAATTGCGATGGCGATGGCAGAACACAAAAACCAACGTTTTTAAATCTGTGTCGTTTAACTTTCAATTCAATATTTTGTTTTCAAACATTCGCAAAAAAAAAAATACACACAGTACTTTTCGTACATTTATAGTCGTCGGGCAGATGTAACTATTATGCGGATCCATTTATGCAGAAAAGGTATTTCGAATGACATCCGGTCATGCAAACCGATACAAAAAAGGGGTTAATATTGAAAATCCGATTAGCAATATTAACAGATATCTGCGCATTCTCTGAAGGAAAATGGGAATTACGATCATGTTTTCATTGTAACTGTGTGCAATGAAAGTGGATACAATTATTTACGAACAACATTCTTTCAGATTTTCGACAAAACCCGCAAAAAAACCCCGATTTTTTAAGAGTTTCGATTCAACTATGCGGTAAGTGCCAGAATTTCGTTAAAAATCGTCAGGATTTTTTACGATTTTCGAAGTATTCCGAATTTTGGATGAAATATAGAATTTCTGATCAAACTCAAAGTATCCGAAACCTATTTTCTGTTCATTTTCTAATGTTCCTTTAGAGTTTTATGCGGAAATGATGCAGAAAATCGCAAATTTCCCTTTTTTTCACCCGAATTTTTGTTCTGATTTCGGTACGAATTTTGCATCAGAATCAAAATCCTGTGCAGAGTTTCTTTCCGAATTCGGAAAAATTTCGAAACATGTATTGGGGATGTATTCCAAATTTATTAGTGTTTGTAGATATAAGTGTTTTTCTGAGGATAAATTAGTAAAATGTAGAAAAGGACAATGAAAATATACGAATGTCGATTTCTTGTCATTGGAGGAACATTTTTGTTGAATATTTAGAGGTCACAAAATATCGTCGTATGGTATTTAGTTTACGGTTCCATAAAATAAGATGCACAAGGACCCAAGATATTGTTACACAGAAATATATAGAATATATTTTCTTGGGAAAAATAACTGATTTATAGGTTTATAGAAGTCAACTTGTGCCCATGTCAAATCTAGTGTTAATATCATTCCCTTATAAATATGATTAAAGCATTCGAATTTACATTTCACACACACAAGCACACCACCCTATTCACATATGAAGGATTGACGAAGTTGAACAGCAACACGACAAACTATCTACTTGAATGCCATTATTAACGATTTTCAAACTGTAACATCTGTCAGTGACACAATGTTTCATTTCAACACTTCTCAGCGAACATTCAGACACGTTTGTCCGCAGGGCAACATTCATTCAAGATGTTTAAAGTTGCGAGGTTGTGTGCCGCGGAGTAAAACGCACAATTATGACAAACCGAACAATCTGAGTGTGACACCTGCAATTAGACAATTCAATTACAGCTAACAATGCCTACAACAACAACAACAATAACAACAAATCACTGACAAATTCACGCCTTAGTGTGCTTCAATACTCCTCCCACCAGACTCAAACGTCTGAAAATATGTCAAACACTGACGTTCATAGTTCTTTGGCCTCAGATATGGGAAATACGAACGTTGTGAAATCCCATATCAAATGTTTGGCACTGATAGACTGGCGGTGAGCAAAGAATTCTCAGAAATTTCGAAACAAAATATCAATTAAAAGAAAACATATTCGGTTTTATTGGTTATTATGTGTCCGATGGAATTTGAGATATGTATGTGATTATGCGATTATATTCCTAATAACCCGGCTCACATTTTATTATACACCAAGGTGACATCTGCATCCTAAAGCGATCTGCTAGAGTCATATTCAGCAAAGGACTATTTTATTTGCATTCTATTGCAAAAATTCATTGTTTCTTCCGTTAGCCTATAATTCAATAAGAGAGTGGGACAAATTAAAGTGAAATATAGTATTATTTAAGAGCAAACTCAAATGCCAACGAATTCACCATGACCTAATATTTATAATATTTCATAATTTAATTTATAATATTTCATCGTTATATCGGAATATTGAGCATATTCTTTGAATTGCTGAAAAATCGTTCAGTATAATTTTTGAATTGAAGCCCACTGTGACAACACATACTCCTATCAAACTTCTTATCATTGCAGTTATCAATTCAGTCGAGTTGAAAATAAATGTTCCCAAAGATAAGAATTTGTAGCATTCGTACAGATATTACCGCTTGGTGGGTTTAGTCATTGCACTGCAACGCTTTGTAGAGGTAGTGTCAAAAAAGTTTCAATTATTGCTAACATGGGTAGGTCCATTCCGTTATAACCCCTGGTCCATTCCGTCCCAATTTGAATTAAAATATTATACAATTGGAATTGTTTCGTTTTCAGATCACAAATGGGTAACCTGTTCAAATGGTGCTGTACCACAACTGGCAGTAGTCGGTGGCCATGATTCCGATGGAGACACAATTTACATTGGCCGTGCTGACTATGAGGGCGATCGCTTACCGGCTAAGGTCATTCCATCCAAAGGCAAAGCCTATGTCTCTCACGGAGGCAATGAAATTGAAGTCGACACCTATGAAGTGTTGACTGGACTGCGGTACCAGTGGGTACCTGCTGCCAATGGCGATGTTCCAGAAACAGCTGTTAAAGTCGGCAGATCTGCCGATGGCGATTTTCTTTATGCTGGCCGTGGCAACTGGGAAGGTAGTGTGACCGTGGGTAAAGTTCATCCCTCACATGGCTGCCTCTACATTCCTTATGGCGAAGAAGAGGTCAAGTTAACCGAATACGAAGTATTAACACAACCCGATCAGTGGATATCGGCCACCGTCGATTCGTTTCCCGAAGACGCTCTAGAGGGAGGACGTGACGCTGATGGAGACGCCATCTATATTGGCCGTGTATTCAAGAATGGCGATTTATTGCCAGCCAAAGTTATTCCCAACAAAGGTGGAGCCTACGTCTGTTGGGCTGGCGAGGAAGAAAAAGTGGAAAACTTCCAGGTTCTGGTCGGTGCCGGTTTCATGTGGGTGGGTTGTGAAAATGGCAATATTGTCCCTGGCGCCGTACCCGCAGGCTCCACTTGTGACGGTGAGACTCTTTACATTGGTCGTGCCGAACATGCCGGTAGTTTGTGTGTGGGCAAAGTACATCCCTCTCACGCCTGCCTCTACATACCCTTTGGTGGCGGCGAAGAAAAAATCGACTGTTACGAAGTTCTAGTCAGACTTTAAAATGTGGAATTTTTTATACTATTTTTATACGGATACAATTTGTAATATATGTTTAGAAAATTTAATTTATTGTCAAATTCGTTTGGCTGCAAATCAATTAAAGTGAATTTAATTATAAATATATGCAGACTTATCAATGGTCGAGAGATTAGATGTTGGCAATAAAAACTTAGTCTTATCAAAAACGTTTACCTGGTAGCATACTTGATATGGATTTTTTAATTGTTTGCTTTAAGAAGAATCGGATATATAATATAGTTCGTCATAATTCTTATTAGCACTTTCCATTTTTTTAGTTTTCCCAAAAACTACTACCTACTTGAATTATATAACGCAACAATTAAAAATCGAATACACTAAAATCCCAATACTTTTTTGAAAAAAAAAACACCTATTTGATCATTACACCATAGCACCACCAACAGCATCATTCAAATCCCATGAGTTTGTGTGCGTGTGTCTGCGTGTATGTGGGAACAACAAGTTTTATTAGTTCAACAATTTGACCAAATCGTTTTCCATTTTTCACTGAAATCACAAAAATCTAAACCATTCCAATTTGCCAATTTCAAGCAGGAATATCTCCGTGACAATGAAATGAAACTTTGTTCGGCAAGCAAATCTTTTTGATATCGCACTTGAAAGGAGTCGACGTTTGTATCTACGTACCATGCACATGCGAGTACAAAAACTTTCAACAACAACGACAAAAAAAAACAAACATAAAGGTTCGAACAACAAATTTAGCTATACAATGGAAAAACGAACTAGCTTGCACATTTGCCTGTCGGAATGAAATAGGGTTGCATGGTATGGACATATTCAAGCAAATATTCGTCGGAGACCTCATACAATATTATTGATCTATATGGATTTATTCCAGTCAGTCAGTTTGTTACGATACATTTTTACAGACATTGATATTACTCATGAGATATATGGTATTGAAAATAATGCATAAGGTCGTTTTTTACGATAGCCCAAATATAACCGTACCCCAAATATTAGGAATTTTTAAACATTTAGGTGTTTTTTAACTACTCAGATGAAATTTAATATTCTGGATTCTCATTGGGTAGAACATTTTCCTACTAAAAACTATCAATATTGATCTACTTTTTAGGAGTTGGGGCACATATTTCCATCAGATTTACTGTAATTTTATATTTTTGATTCTGATTTGGAAGATTTCCTTCCAAAATTTTGCAATATATATATCCCTATTTTGGTATTGCCCCAATATACCGGTATTCTCACTATTCGGTATTTTGCGAATTTCAGACATTTGTCCAACGGCCAGGCGTCATGTTCGATATGTGCAAGGTCCAAGCCCATGCTGAGTTTTTGTTATTTCGTTTTCATGTAGAATATTTTGATCAATTTTAGGTGTTTGGATATCCACCACATGTTTAACGACATTTTTAGCTGTTATTGTCCATGGAACAATTCGGTAAATTCCACTTCTATTGGACATTATTAACAACTTTCAAATTATTTTCTAGACGACTTTTCGAGATTTATAATCAACTTGATGTTGTCATTTTACATAAAAATTCATTAAAAAAAAGCAATAACTGAGAGAGCTGTTTTGAATTCCCCTACTCCCAGTAATCAAATAGCAATATCCAGTCCGAACATAATTTAAAAACTAAATAAACGTAATAGTGACTCTACTCATTGTGTCCCCCCCCATGGGTATATGGGTGTCGTTACAAGTTTTTGTTTTCTAATTCTCGCTATCTTCCACTGATGTATGGCATTTCCTTCAATCTCGTTTGCTGCATCTCGATATCAAATTTCATTTATTGACATCTCTAAACGTTGGCAAAATTCAAATCCAAATTGAAAATTCAAGCACGACGTTCGACTAGAATTTGTTTAACATTGCGGATCGATGTGCATGTGTCGGTGCGTGTCTGCGGATACATTCACGTGTGCCTTTCAATGGCTGTGAGCTTCCTTCCGCTGGGAAATGGGTAAACATCACAAGTCCATGAATTGCAACCACGTAACGACACCACAATGCCGACACATCCAACAATGGCACACATTCAGCCGGATCAACAAGGGCGCTTACGAAGTAAACATTAGACGAGGCTTTGGCCCACTTACAAATGTTGGCGGTTTGTGTGCCAGCTATATTGTCGGAAACGGCTATCATTTACATCAGCCCAGTTGATGCGCCAATTCGCCCCCCCCCCCTCTCCACCCCATTCGTCCTGAGAAAGGATTACACCAATGCTATGCATTGGTGTAAGAGAAGTGGAGACAAATGTTTGATAACAACATCATCTGACATCAGTATCTCAAAGTTAATCCCCAGCAAATGGCTTGAAGGTTTCCGGAGAATGAAAGTAAAGCTTGAAAATGGTTAATTTGATACGATGAAACGCTTTTGCAATTGGTCATGCAAAACAGTTAAAATTCATTAACACTGAATCTGTTCTCTGGAATAACAAACCCTACGGATATGCAACAGTTGGAAAATAGTAAAATATTTGTTTTGTGATCCATTTCGGGATGTGGGATGCTTAGTTATGCAGCCACTCAATAGTTCATTCATTTTCCCCTAAATATTCCATTTTTGCTTTAGCAAACTAGGTGGCTACTATCACACTTGTTTGAAGTTCATTAATAAGTTACTTCAGCGGAGACTACCAGTCAGTGTAGACACACACACACACTGGCTACGGAGCTCTTCAGTTGCTCTAATTTGTGGCAGCTTGCAGTCGAGCACTGGCACTAACATGGATTACCGTGTTTTAACGTCCAAATTATTTGGTAAGGGCCCTGGAGATTAACTTCATCATCACGTCAAATATCTGCGTGTAAAGTGTCATTTCGACGTCTAGATAATATACGACGGATGATCCAAAAGGAAAATGTACGAAAATAAGTGGGTGTTTCAAAAATCAATTGTTGGGCAAACGGAATATCTATTTGTAATATATGTTTAGTTCAATTTTACAACTGATATTAGACTTAGAAATTATTGAGAAAAGTATTGACCTCAAATATTAGAGTATCAATTAACCATGCAGCAAAAAAGCATAATGTTTACATTTTAAACCCTATTCACGATGTGAAAAGATGTTTTCTCCCCATGGGGGAATCAATTTCAAATAGTTATCACCCTTCGTACCTCATCTTCGTACTTAACAAACCTACCTCATATGACTTCTTCAGATACACTACGATTTAACTTCCTGAGAAGATTTGTTAGCCATCACGTATACCTACCACCCGTACACACCTTTCTACATAGCTAGATTTATATGTAAGTTGAACAGATTTGAAAGTGTGTAACAAACTGTTATTTTGTTATTGTTATTTAAGCTGAAAACTGTTCAACTTATCGTCTTAAATTAAAGTTGTGCTTTAAAGAATAACATTTGTGCAGGACTTAACCAAAACAAAGAACAAATTCGAAATATTTGAACATTCAATGCGACATCATATAACAGTTTTCATTCAGTTTTCATTCATGCCTTAAAGAGTTAACAATTTCTGATCGATGTTTGGTATTTCATATGTTTTAACTGTGAATTTGATGCAAATTGAATAACATTTTTTACGAAATATAATTTGATATAAGTTCACCTTTTGACATTGTGCCACAATTAATTGCTTACTTGTTTTATTATACTCTAGAATAGATGTCACCTTATTAAAATTCTTTTGTAAAGAATTTACCCAAATAGTGAAAACATATTTTCAAGTTTTGAAAGTATTACCACATTATACCAACGTAGACTATGTTGCATGCAACAGGCAACAAAAGTCCATAAAAGTTTCATCGTTTGAAATGCAAATCTCACTTCCTTTTGTTATTAGCATAAATTCATAAATTCCCACTACACAATGTGGTTGAATTGCATTTGCATGACAATGAAAATACAATTAGGACAACAATAATAACAACAGAGGCAGCGACTGCGACAACGACAAACAGATTTAATAGCATATCACTAACAGAATTATTACAATACAATAGTATATGTTATGTGGGTAAACATGTTTTTCCCTCGACAAACATATCACCAGAAAAAAAGGAAAAAAATCCCAATGGTTCACATGTCGGCAATATCTCAAAATATGGAGCCAGTAACACTTATTATCAAATCAAATTTTAAGTACTTAAAATAACTCTATCACACGAGTTAAGAGAGATACCTGAGTAATAAATAAAAGGATTTTGCATCACTGTGAATAGATATTGAATAAACCAGCAGACAAGCTGTAATAATACAAACTGAAAATGTCCATCGGAGTATTAAAACGAAAATCTATGTATCGGACTTTAAATTGCTCTCGCTACCGCCGTATTCTCATACTCTTTACCTCAGTGACTATTTTCCACTCTCAGAAAAGAAAAATTTGAAATGTAGCTATAATCAGTGTTTCGCCCTTAAAGGGAATTTAAAATAAAAAAGTTTACCAAAAATAATTTTTACTATGGTAGGCAAGTAGCTTTTTCTTTTTTACTGTAGCTGGCGAATCTGCAGTATCTTCCGTCAGCATGTATAAACACTCAGCCATACACAAAACGCGACCGACGTTTTGTACCTTTACTTGTTTCACGTGTTTTCCCATTTTATTCCAGAACTATTATTTTCACCAGTGAAAATTGAAAGTGTAACTCCTCTGCTATGCGCTGTTGGTGTTTTTAGCTGCTTTGCAATTTAATTCCCTTAGGCGTAGATGCTGCAAATATGGCTGTGAGCTATTTCCCACTAGTTGTTCGTTTCGGAATGTGGGTTGTTCTCTACATACTTTTTACTTGTTTTCTTTAAAATGAATCGACACAACGTTTTTGTATTTTTTTCCATGTAGGTCTAAGTAGTTTGAGAGTTGAGGTAGCCCATTTCCATTTTAAAATTTTATAATGTCAATGTATAGGTGAAGAAACTCAAATAATAAAAATTTTAAATATGTAAGAAGCTTAACAAAGTAATTTGAACCCGTTTTTTTGTCGGAATGGAAAGGGGGAATTTAATAATCCGTATTTTTTTTTTGTTTTTTGATTGGGTGGTTCTTATGGGGTTCCAATAATAATTTATTAATCCACTTTCAATCGATAGTGACTGATATTATTTTATTATAAAAACTATTTTGTACTACTCAGGGATGGTCCGTGTGACGAATTTTTAGGTTTTTGACTGTCACTGGGTAAGACATGCGTAATTTCAAATTGATTAATGGAAATAGTTATTTTGTCAAAAACCTAATGGATTTGGGTAGGTTTCTGACGTTTCTCACGTATGTATAACACGTCGGAAATGTATGTAATTTACGTCATTGTTTCTGACAGGCCATCTCTGGTACTACTAAAACAATCGACTTCATAATTGTGATGTCATTATAAACCATTCTTTCCTCACGTACTTCAAAAATTTACTAGGTTTTTTCATTAAAGGCTTTCGAATTCGAATAATTCCTGTTGTCGAATTCTCAACTTTTGAGTTGTTATTTCAAATAGTTATCTGTTTTAAGAATAAAAAAATATAGATATATAGTAACTATAGCAATTTTTTGTATCCTAAGATGCCTTTTCGAAGTGATAAGTCATTTACTGCTGACTGTGAGGGCACAGCTTATATATTTGTAATCTCAATTTCTTTGTGGAAAACCTTGGACTAAGACGTCGCCAATAATGGTCAATATGACGTATAAAATGTGCAGAAATTTTAAGAAATGTGGTCAAAAATGTATATGTGTTTTCAGTTTAGGTAAGTGATAATGCGGTTAAAATCGCTTAACAGCACATCCACCATTGTTACGATATTTGAACAACTGAGCAAAAGCCATTTATCGGCAGCGTTTGGCTGTGAAATGTCTCAACTCTCTGTTTTTATATCATTGCATAGAGAATTGCAAAAAAATAACTTTATTAAAATTAACAAATTAAAAATTGTACAAATTCGATTTAAAAAGAAAAATGCCGACGAAAAAACTCAATACGAGCATTGCTAAGAGCTTTTTGTTGTCTGCGAAATTCAAGTGTCTTTAATACACTTATGCACAAAATAGTACCATAGCGTTGATGGTTAATTCTTTTTTCTCTTTTTTCTCTTTCTGGGTCATTTTTGAAAATGAATTTTCAGTTACGGTCTCTCCCACCATTTAATTCTGTTCAACACTGCTTTAATATTAATTAGCAGGTGCCATCTACACATTTGTAGTTTAATTTGTCTGGGTCAGTTGAATGTTATCGTTGTCTGAGCTTAGCACTTTCCATCGTGTCTTCGCTATTTCTTTATGAATTCGCCGTGTTAAATTCATACTCCATCATCCACGCATTTTAATGATTTTTCCAGGGATGTTATTTAATTTTGACATTAAAAATGGATTGTGTATTTGGTAGCTAGTAGTAGCTAACTACCGATAAAACAGTGTTTATAAACACTTCCTTATCAACGGCAAATGTCTTGCTATAAAATACACACAGAATAAAAAACTCAGTGGCAACACTGCAAATTCCTATATTTGACTTAATGGCAATATAGTACTGTTTATAAATAAAAACCTAAGAGCGCGTTTAGACTACTAAATCCTAAATTTATTATAAATGAAATAATTTAATTTATATAATGAGAGAGGACGCTGGCAAACCTTTGTAAAAAAATAGATAGTGATGATGAAAATCAAGGCCTATTAAGTTTGCTGTCAAAATCCGTTATTGTGAATTGTTTCACATTATGAAAACTTAAAGAACGTCCAATTTTTTACTTTTAACTTGAGAACATACACTTTTTTACCTTCTAGGTGATCTTATTAACAGGCCATGATGAAAATATTGTTTAAAAAATTGTCACAAAAATTATGAAACTATTGAAATTTGTATGTAGGCTTATGGCTTTTTTGCAACCTTGTATCCTAGTACCATATTTGGATGAGTGTTTACATAAAATAAGATAAAACCATGACATATTTACAGAAGGTAGTCTCATTTGAGAAATTATTAATGGAATTTGGAACACATCTATCAAATTCAAATTGTTTAAAAAATAAATTTCATAAAATTTAATGCATGTCGAATGGCATATTTTTTAAAAATTAAAAATGTATACTTTCTGTAAATAAGCATCTCATTTTTTTTATGTTAATATTGCTTTTAGATAAAATTGTAGATGTTACAAATTATATTTATAGGTTACAGAAACTGGAAACTTCAAGATAATAAACATTTTGTAATTATTGCCATTGGACACGTGTTGTACTTACATTTCGAAAGAGGATATTTTCATTTAAATTTTGAAAGCTGAATGTTGTCAAAAGTAAAATTGTGAAAAAATTGGAATCATATGTCTGCATGAGACTACCTTGTGTAGTTATGCCATGGATAATTTATGTAATTACATATGTCTTTTTTTAATAGGACGCGCTCTATTTTCGTATATGTATGAAACATAAGGAAATTAGCTGTTTGAAAGAAACACATTGTTAAGCGTTGTACACACTTTCATTTTTGAGTGATAGTTTCGATAACTTATCGGTTGTTACAGTTTTGTTGTGTTATTTGCAGCGGCCATATTAACATTCATGCCTTTTTTCAAACCGAAATTCATATTTATAAAAAGAAATATATTAATAAAAATGGATAACAAAAGAATTGGGTGTGCATTTTTAATAATTTTGTGCATTTTTAATATTTTTGTTGAAATTTATTGTCTGACTGGCGTTTTTATGTTCACATTATCGAACCAACAAACATCTAACATCTGACTGTCACGTAACCATAAACATTTTTGTGGTTGCCTGATGACTGAGAGAAATTAATGGCCAAACTGGCAAGCAAGCCGATAATTCAGCAAGAGTGTCATTCAAAAATGACACCGATTTAGAGGAAAATATTTATATTTTATATTTATATGAAAAATACAATGTTGTTACGATATCGCACTGTGGAAATTCAATTGTCCTATCTTTATACTTTTATGTCTTTGGTGAAGTTACATGTAGGCACCCATCATTGTATTATCTTCTTTTTTTGGTGTTATTTTCTTATTCTTTGTTCCTCTTTAATTTCTCCTCATCTTTTGCTCCGTTTTAACCATAATTTTCTATCAAAAATTCGACTTATGTCTCCCTAACATCAAACTCGATGAGAATAGACGTGTTCAACTTTTGATGAGAGTGGACGTGTTCAATCGCGTCGCGTCCGTGAATTAACGAAGAAAGTGCTAAAGCAAAGGGTGAAAAGAGTGTTTGTGTTTTTATTTGTTGCCGACGTATCAGAATATTTTTTATGCGTCTACGTCCAATAAATATTTTAATCGAACGAAACCAGCAACAAATCGTGCTGCCAAAGAAGAGAAAAATCGCACCACATATGAAAATAGCCAATAAATATGGATTGAAAAACGGATTCGTGGGTTATCGACACCAATTCGAGCAGTCGCGGCAGACAGCAACATGTGTGAATGAATTTTTTAGTGCGCTACGAAAATAAAGAAAATAAAAATCAGTCTTGGAAATCAGGGGACGAACGAACGAGTGCAACAATAAACAAGAGAAAATAAAATAAGTGAAAAGAAAAGTACGCCAGCAGCAAAAACAAAGCCCGGAATCATAAGGAATAAAGAGGGAAAATAAAAGAAAAACAGCTGTTTATGTGTTGATGAAGGAGATAAAACGTCACGTCGTCGTCGTTGTTGTTCTGGTGCAAGCAAAAGGTAAAATGTCAAACAAATTCGTACGGATCAAAACCAGGATTGGTGAACGAACGTCTTATTTATACAAAAATTTTACTGTTCTGAAATTCAGTTTACGGCTTAACTCTAGTTTAGTAAAAACGATCAGATTTTTCTGAAATTTTTTCCAGAGTTAGGTATTTTTACCCTAATTATGGGGATATCTTTTTTTCTTGGGGGACGTACCCGGTTACCCGGTTATTTGACCCGAAAGTTCGGGTACGGGTACCCGGTTATATCCGGTTCACCGGATCCGGTTAATATAACCGGGTAACCGGGTACGTCCCCCAAGAAAAAAGATATCCCCATAATTAGGATGAAAATACCTAACTCTGGAAAAAATTTCAGAAAAATTTAATCGTTTTTACTAAACTAGAGTTGTTCCCAGTTTACTTATTAAATATTATTGTTTAAACGCTGCTCTATTTAACCCTTTCAGTGTTTTTGTCGAATATATTCGACATTTAAAATTACTCTCTTCCTTTGCAATTTTTCGGTTATCCTATGTACCGTTACAGTTGATGTCTTTATTTTTGCTGAAAGATAGACAAAACTGTCCGAGGGTTAAAATAAAAATTGATTTTTTTCTAAACTCTGGGCCTTCATATGATTTTAAGTACAAAATTTTAGATTTTTATTCCGACAAAAATTTTCTTTGACACTGAAAGGGTTAAGTCATGCTCCCAATAAATGGGAGATGTTTTTTATTAATATTAGGTGGATTACGACTATAGCTTTGGCTTAAGTCTAGATACGGATATCCATTATCATTTTAAAGGTTAAAGAATCTACTACATTTTACGAAATCTAGTAGATTCTTGCAAAACAATGTTTATACAGGGGTGATTCTGTTGAGTCGCCGGAGTTGCCATGTGTCCATAGGAGAAAGTCTTAAATCAGAGAGGAGCCCGTTGTAATCAGGACCTTCAAAAAGATCCGCGATCGGGTCCTAAATTAGACCTGTTATATTTCTTTGATGGTTTCGGTTCTAAATATATATATGCTGTACCAACAAGTTTGCTTTACATACTATGAACGTTGATTCATTATCTATATGAAAAAATTCCACATTTTTACATGCAAGCAATCTACAACGTCGGTATATTTTTCCCGCTTGCTCATATCAACACTTTCAATTAAAGTGCCATCATCAACAGCAGGCAACAACAAAGTCTAACGAACCAAAGTCATACATTTAAATTCAAAGTGTTCAATGCTCGATTGAGTGAATGTACAACTAACCGATAAAGACATATTTGCAACAATAGCAACAATAATTAATAAAAGAAAATAATGAAAACGAAATCGAAAATATAAAATGCAAAATCAACAAGTTGGGAGATCTCAGATCTCTTGGCATTTACAATCATACTTTGGAGTAAACAAAGTCATCTCTGTGGCTGGTCCCTTTTGTCTAACCCAGTGCTGCCAGTTAAATTTCATGAAAAATCGTCAATTTTTCAGGAAAATATCGTCATAATCGGCATTTGTATTTTAAAAAAACGGCAAAAAACCGGCAGCATATAATTTATAAATAAATTCATATTTTTTGGTTTATAACAAATCAATATTGTTTATTACATTAAAAAAAAAGATAGCAAATTCAATCCTGTATAAAAAAATAACATAAAAAATTCATTTTTCTACAAAAAATGTAGATTTTTCTAAAATATAGTAATTATTATGTACACTAGTGAGATCTTTCAGATTTACGTATAACACGGTGTGGTATTAAGGTCATAAAATAACTTACAAACTAGTACATATTTTTATTACACATTTTTAGTAATTCATTATCAATTTTGATATTAAAACAATTTGAATTATGAGCTTCTAATTTTAGTTTTGTTAAGGTTTACCTGACTAAAAATTCGTTCCACATTTGCTGTGGAGTGTGGAAGAACCATAATTCTTTGTACAAATTTAGACAAAACTGGAAAAGCTAAATTGGAGTCCCCACATTTAATTTCGGAAATTTTTTTCCAAAAACTTCTTAAATTATATTCTGCATTTTCAAAAATTTCTTCAAAATTCGGAAAGTTTAACTCCCTAAACTCGGAGTCTAAAGATTTGCCTTATTCGATGTAAAATGTAAACTAGACAGAGTACAATGCTGACAAAAAATGCAGATATCTAAGCCATTGAAAACGGCTGCGGCGAGTCGCCGATAGTTATAATGATTTAAAGCTGCCAATTTTATATGTTTGTATGGTAATGCCGTATTAAATTAAAAAGTTAGACAATTTGTGTCGATTGTTGAAATATCGGCAATTCTGAGGCAAAAATCGGCATTTTCCATTTTTAGAGTGAAAAATCGTCAAAATGCCGATAAATCGGCAAATATGGCAGCCCTGGTCTAACCCTGTGGTTATTTCTTCGCGCACACACACAAACCACCTACCTTTATATACATTAAAGTTTATATTTTATTTGAATGACGGTACTTTGTATTTGTAACTAGGTAAAGTGTTGCCCATGTACACTCAGACAGACAGGCTCATTCAGTAAATGTATACAAGAAGCAGTGCACTCTGCCATACCATCATAAGTATGCCAAAGACGTTTCATTCAAGCTTTTCTTTTAACGAAGACACCTCAACGCCACCACTTTTGTTTTTGTTTTTTCATTTCGTTTGTAGTTGCCTGAAATATATAGGCCAGAGTTGCTCTTTGTGTAGTGATAAATGTGATTGGGTGGCTGCACACTAATTTCTAATAGATATGCAAATGCAAATCCCAAAATTTTTATGTGATTGAATTTTCTCAGCGAAGTACAAAAATAAAAAACCTAGATTTAATATTAATTTGAATGCAAGCATTTTAGCAAGTTGTTTCTAAGAAGAGGATGATCTGTAATATATAGGGTAAACGCACCTAATGTTTTATATAACTTCAAATAACTAAAAAATCCCATAACTAAATATAAAAAATACCTTGAATAATCTTCAATAACACGGCAATCTATCTCTTTATAAAATTTAATCGAGATAAGTACCTTTATTCAGTCAAAATTTGGCATTTGGTCAATGAGGTTTGTCCGCACATGGAGGAGAATACTTTACAATTTAAAATCATTAAAAAATATTTGTAATTAAGATTTTTTTTTATCGATGTCGCCCTTAGAAGCAAACATTTTTAAGGTTTTCATATAGTCGGCATATGGGTGAATAATAATAATGTTAAATAAGTGTTCTAAATAACGATTAATTTATAAAAAAATCAGTAATTGGATAAAAGATTCCCTTATTTTATAATTGCGATATTTTAATAAATAAAATTAGTTTATGTAAATTTTGTAAGATAACACTGATGATGATGAAATAACAAAAAAAAAAAAAAATAATTAAATAACTGACTATTTTGCAAAAACAAAATACAAATGGTATCCCAAATAAACACTACTGAAATTAAATAAATAATTTTTGTTTATGTATTTTTTGACCGTATATATAGTAATTCTATTATTATTCATTAAAACAAATGTAATTCAGTTCAATCTGAGCCATTTTTGTGGGAGTTAGAGAAATATAAAACGGGCATTTTAATATTTAGTATTTGGGGTAGTAGTTAAACATTAAAGATTAAAATCATCACTACGTGTAAAACCACTCAAAACTGATTTGTGTCTTTAAGTTATTTGAGGTTATATGCAACAGATGCCGAAATTAGAAGCAGTTGTTAAATTTTTTGCTCGAAATTTGGAAATTTAGGCCAAAATACAGTTGATTAAATGTATTTATTGAGGAAACTATTTAGGAATCAAATCAATTAATTTTCTGTAAATGTATGATCTTCATTTTAATATTATTTTACAACACTTCTTTTACCTCTTAATAAACTATAATGTCGAAAAACATAATGTCCATATCAAGTTTGGAAGAGTTATTATTTACACAATGTAATTCAATTTTCTTTACGTAGAACCTATATGTATACCCTCCGATTCCGTATCTATATTGAAGTCATACAAATATACATCATTTGAACAGTATCTTGTGTATGATGTCCAGTGTACAGCAAATTTATTTCATAATTGCGTAGGAATTTCGACCATCCCACTCACTTACTTACCTACCTATACATATTGTTAAATTGTTAGTACTTTCGCTAATCGGTATTTTGTGGTGCTTAGCGTGCGACATTCGTATTAATAACACTTGCTGTGTAATTTTGTAGCAATAAAACTGCTGTGGATATGGCTGTTCCAATTAAAAACGCTTTTTTAAACGATTTGAGCCAAATCAAATAGAGGTTTAGTAATGGGGATGCAAATGAGATCGTCTTCTAATGTTTGGCGATGAAAACTCACATCAACAAAATTTCTAAAACGTTGACTTTTATTGCTCTATTCATTGTTCATGATTATGCATGAAAACGTAATTTACGTGTTATGACGAACATTTCATATACATACATATGTGCATACATATTTAGACGATTCCTGCTAGACACAATCCGAGTGTGTCATGATTAATGAACGTAAACAATTTAGCTTCGCCGCT